CCGGCATGACCTATGATGTATTGAGTAGAGAAGTCGTCCTATATGAGTCGAAGTCTATGCCAGTTACCACTTTCTGGCATAAGGACCAGAAGGGGAAGAAGTGGAAAGATCGTACCATCTCGGGCCAAGTCAAGGCCAAGGATCACTTGATCCTGACATTAGAGGAGGGTGGTACAGAAGACGTCCCGTATGATCAGATTGAGTGGGGCCTAGGGGAGGAGTACAGTTGTGTAGGGCAGGGGAGGTCTTACGCTGTTGTCGCGGCCGGAGGGAGGCCGCAAGGTAGAGGAGGAGGCCAGGGCCAAAGGGGCCAGGCCATGGGAGGCCGAGGACCGGGCGCACAAGGGGTTGGCGGACAGGGAAACCGCCAAGCGGGAGGTAGGGGTCAAGGTCCCCCGTTATATCGCCAGGGTAACCGGTCCCCACAACGAGGAGGTGGAAGGGCACCTCAAGGAGGATGGCATCCAGGCTTGCCGCAAGGCAGGCCCTGGGAAGACTTGGGCTTGGACCGACAATTATGGCAGGAACGCGTGAACATGGGTCAGTGCGTATTTTGTGGTGACCCGRCGCAYGTAATTAAATTTTGTCCTAAGTATAGACAGGCCCGTTGGGCTGCCCAACAGTCAAAAGGCAGCCGCCAGTAGGGGTCGCAACTGCCCCTACTTCAAGGCCATGTAGAGAAGTGAGCGCGCGCGTACAGGACACTCCCAACCCACATGAGCCTATGGCAAAGGTTGCAGGCCCGTGCCTAGATAGCTGTCCAGAGACTGCTTGTGTTAGCGTCTCTTTAGGCACGTCCCTAACAGGTGTGGCAGAAGAGTTAAAGGAGAGGATGTCAGCCTAGGCCAAAATGAAAAAGGAGAGTAAGGGGCAGCTGATCTTAGTAGATGTAGAGGTGTTAAGGAGTAGAGTAGAGGCCCTCATAGACTCAGGGGCTACCCGTAGTTATATTAGCCGTAGGGCGCTGAAGAAGCTGAGGCTAGGACTAAAGGTCCAGAAGTTAATAGACCCTATAGTCAGTGTTCTCGCAGACAACCGCACGATGCGAGTTGAGAACTACGTAGAGGGAGTCCAGACATACTTTTGCCTAGAGCAGAATGGAAAAGTGGAGAAGGTCCTCCATTCTTTGACTCTCCTCGTGCAGGATGACCTTCCTTTTGATGTAGTTTTAGGAATGGATTGGGGAGAGGCAGCAGGGGCCACAYTCCARTTGAGAGAGCATGAGTGTAGGCYCCCTAGTCCGTCAGGCGAGGCTAAGACTGCCCGCTTGTTCCATGTGTCTGGTGTAGACAATACCTTGGCACATTGCTGTCTCAGTGCTCCCGCGTTCGC